CTGTTTTATTGATGGTATGGCTTGCATCATGAAAGATTTTAATTCTGATGTGGTGTGATTTTTTTTCTATTTTTTTTCTTTTGTGATTGTGCTTTTGGTGTCAAATCTAAGAACTCAGTGCCTGACTTAAGACTGTGAAGATTTTCTTTACATTTTCTTCTGAGTGGTTTCTGTCCTTGGCTACCAAGACAGTGTGCTGCTTTGATTGCATTTTGGGTGTAGATTCAACTGTGCATTCCTAGGGTAATCTTGCTGGGTCCTTGTATTCAGCCCTTCTTGTCTGTTGCTAGATTTGGCTTGCTAGTATTTGGGGGAGGGTTTCTGCATCTATGTGCTTACGGGATTTGGTTTGTAGTTTTCTTGTAAAGTCTATCATTTCAAAGTATCATCTAATTTCCTTCATGATTTCTTCTTTGATCCATTTGGCTAAATAGGAGTATGTTATTTGATTTTCACATTTTTGTGAATTTTCAGATTTCCTTCAGTTACTGATTTCTAATTTAATTCTCTTGTGGGTGTACAATCTACTTTGTATGATTGTGATCCCTTTTGATGTACTGAGACTTGTTTTGTTGCCTAACATATGGTCTGTCTTACAGAATGCTCCATGTGTGCTTGAAAAGACTGCGTTCTGCTGTTGGCCAAGGGCTCTGCAGATGCACACAGCTCAAGGCGACTTACTGTGTTGTTCCAAATCCTGCATTTCCTTGTTGACCTTTGGCCCAGTTCCTCTGTCTTGCAGTGAAAGTGTGTCATTGAAGTCCACAGTGTTTGTGCCATTTTCATCAGACTTAGAGTCCATGTCTGAGCTCCTTGATGGAAAAATACTTACTTGGCTCTCAAGCTAATGGCCTCTCTTCTCCCATCTGATACCTGACATCCACTGAGTGGAAGCTTATAATGCGTTGGGCTTCATGTTTTAGATATGCTCCTAGTATTTGTACTCTGTAAGTGAGGAAATAGACCTACAGAGGACCTGGGAAGATCGCCCCAAGACACCTGGCTGGTTCAGAACTGGATTTTCCGGCACTAGAGTCTAGAATTTGTGCTCAGCACCACATTTCTAGATGTCCTCTTGCGGTACCTAGATGCTGTCATGAACATCCCCACACCAGAATAAGGCACTCAGTCGGAATGTTGGCCTGTTCCTAAGCTGCTGTGTAAGGAATTTCAATTTCGGTGGAAAAATAAAAGGGATTTTTATTGTTTTGGATCCCGGCCTCTGCCACCTTCCCAGGTTTGGGTCTGCACATGGCCAAGATGCAGGCCACATGTCTCCACTCAGCTCACCTTCTAGACCACAGGTCCTTGGATTTCCAGGTACCTTTCCAGTGTTGTACTGGCATCACCTATCTGGTCTTTCCACCATTCATGCAGATCTCTCTCTCTGAAACTCCATGACTCTGTTTCTCTACTATCTGACCCCCAAACCTCAGTGAGTAATTCAAAAACCTTTGTAATCTAGATCCAGTTGTCCCCACAAACCCACTAAACTGTGTCAATGATGTCTGTGGCCCACAAGACCCACTCTATGACTTTAGAAGTGACAGCTGGCTGTTGAGTGCTTAAATGTTGGCACAATTGAAATTCTAGAGAATTAAATCCCATCTAGAGCATTAGAGATCCTCTATGCTCCTGGTTCCCTTTTGCCTTGAAGTCCACAAAGCCCCCAGGCTCTCTTTGCCACACTCTGTTTTCACAGGGCACTGGAAGGGCCACGTGAGTGTCTGGCTCCCTAGGCCCCTGCTGGCATTCTTTAGCCACCTCCTACCCCTGCACATTAATGGACCTGCTTATAACTGACATCCAATATAAGGCTGACGACAAGACTATGATACACTTTGCCTATCAAAAGCATCCCACTAAATGTTTACTCACAGAAACACTAAATAATGTGCCTAATTGGGCAAAAAACTCTCCCCTAATTTGTGATGCAGAGGATGGAGGGAAGTTGGAGGGGTGTTCAACCTGTTGGGCCCTGTGCTGAACAGAGGACTTCTGGGCCGAAGGGCCCCGTGAATGGCTGGGGTGATGCAGAATTCTTCAGCATGCTTTTGGAATACTTCAGAGTCTTGGGCAGGAGCAGTGAAGGGACATACTTCAGCCTTTTAATGGGAGCACTGTGCAGGTGGGGCTCAGGTACCTTGACTGGTCATTCTTCCTGTGCAGAAAGGAAGTGGGATCACTTCCTGGGAGTGGGATCAGACTTGCCTGAGACCATACAGCAATGGAAAGGCTCTAATTTTCCTACAGCCTAGACTCAAATCTGGGTCCTCTTGCAACCTCAGTGGATCTGGAGAAGGTTAGTATACAAGCAGGACAAAATGATGCAGAGTGATAATTGTTTGCCCCCAAATTCAGCTCCAAGTACTAAATGTCAGGCTGGGGAGGTTGATATATCCAGGCAGGTTACCTGAGCTTGAATTTAGGAGATCTCAGGAAGCAGCTTCCCACGGAGGCCTGGCTCCTTGGAAAGCAGGGAGCACCAAAGCAGCCTGGAGGACAGAGATGGGGCCATGTGTGGGAGATGGGGGCCCAGGAAGGAAGGGGCAAGGTTCGTAAGAAGCAGCTCCGACTCACTCATGCCAAGATCCTGCCCTGAGCCAGAGCCACCACCCTAACCTCCTTAGAGTGGTAAGGGCCCAGGCAAGGAGTCCCTGTGCCCCCTGCCCCAGAGAAGAGCAATCTTCCTAGAAAGGGAGGTGATGGATGTGTAGAGTGTCATCACACTGGAACCTCGGACACAGCATTTATCATCCTCGCTTCATGTCAGAACTAGGAGAGCAGGCACATGGCACTTACTGAGTCTGGCCTGGCCCACAGCAATCCACCTCGTGAATAGAGACCCCAGCTGGTGTATTTAATGAGAGAAGAGAGATCTGCCACAGACCGAATGATTGTGTCTCCCTAAATTCACGTTGCTGAGACCTAACCCTTGGTGTGATAGTGTTAGGAGGTGAGGCCTTTGGGGCGATTAGGTCATGAGGTAGAGCTTAGCGCTCTTAGAAGCGCCAGAAAGCGCCCTCACCCCTGCCACCACACAGGGACACATTAGGCGTCGCGCTCTGCGAGCCCCATCAGACCCCATGTCTGCGGGCTCCTTGATTTTGAATGTCCAGCCTCTGGGCTGTGGTAAATAAATATCCATTGTTTGTAAACCCCCCAGGCTGTGTGGACCCAGATGAGTTACCCATTAAGTTCGGGGATAACTTATTACATAGACACATGGGGGTGGCCAGAGCCATCTGTTACTTGGAGGGTTTGGAATTCTAGTAAGAAAAAGCACCCATCACGATGTGTCCGTTCTCCTGCCCAGGAGCACCGAGCCCACGGTCTGCCCATTGCTCAGTGAACAACAGCTCTGAGTGCATGTTGAGGGGTGCTCAGCACTCGGTCCTGAGGCAGATAGCAGTACCTCGTTTTACAGACAATTGAGGCTCAGTTGAGCTCACATCACTCAGCTGAGTAGTCACGATGAGGGCAGGCCAGCTTCCTGGTCCGGGTCATGATCATGTGTGTGTCTGTGTCACCAGCTCTCTCTATCCGGGACAGTCCTATCCTCCCTCCCACCCTAACTGACCCTGCTCAAGCCTCTCTCTCCGTGCAGCCCTCCTAATGCCTCCTGACTTTCCATCTCCCCTCCTGGTCCCTGGAGCCTGGCCCCTGATCCAAGCAGTTGCTCCTGATTCCTGCCCCTAGCCGCCCTGCAGCATGCACCAGAGTCTGGTTTCCCTGTGGTTCCAGCAATGGTGCAGGGCTTGGAGGACGGGAGTAGAGGCAGCAGGCATCAGCCCCAGGCCAAGGTGACCCATCAGCTTCTCTGGGCTGGGAAAAGGGAAGGTGTGATGGATCACACCATTTGGGGCCCTCCGGCCTGGTGGACAGAGAGAAGCAGGATCCCATGGAGCTGATGAAGGCGTGCCCTCTGAGGCTGGCTAGTGGCAGCCTCCTGACTCCACCTCCCTGAAGTCAGTGGGGGTGACTTGTTTGGATGCAGATGGTAGAGTGTACACCAAGCATGACACTGACCCCAATAAATGTCTACGTCTGCCCTTTTGCTGAGCTTTATGCAGTGGCTACATTGAAAACTGTGGGTACCCTTATGCCCACCTTTCTGGGGCCTCTGTAGAAAAGCCCAAGGGACTGAATGCTAAAGGACCCTTTCTCACTGGAAAGATTCCCATAGAGAAAATGAGTGGGAAAAACTAGAGAGGGTGTCAAAACATGAGAGACTCCTAACTCTGGGAAATGAACAAGGGGTAGTGGAAGGGGAGGTGGGCGGGGGGTTGGGTGACTGGATGACAGGCGCTGAGGAGGGCACTTAACGGGATGAGCACTGAGTGTTTTTTGTTTTGTTTTGTTTTGTTGTTTTTAAATCTTTTTTTAAATTTTTTTTAATTTATTTATGATAGTCACACACACACACAGAGAGAGAGAGAGAGAGAGAGAGAGGCAGAGACACAGGCAAAGGGAGAAGCAGGCTCCATACAGGGAGCCTGACATGGGACTCGATCCCGGGTTTCCAGGATCACGCCTGGGCTGAAGGCGGTGCTAAACCGCTGAGCCACCCGGGCTGCCCAGCACTGAGTGTTATACTATATGTTGGCAAATCGAACTCCAATATATATATATATATAAAATCTTCAGGATATAAGACTAAAATAAATAAATAAAAAGGCAATCAGATGCTATTGATAAGAAAAAAGAAAAAGGAGAGATTCCTGGTGTACTTACCGCCTGTGAGGGTTACCCAGGAGCTTTGGTCCCCAAACAGGAGCCCTCAGCGCATCCTGCACAAGGCAAATGTCTGCAGCCCACGGGGTCAGGTGGCCTGCACAGCCTCGCCGTGGCAGGCACGTCCCGAGAGCTGCCCGGCCCCAGCCAGCTGGCTTTGTCCTCCTGGAGCCTGGGAAGCGGCTCATCGGGATCACTGCCACCCAAGCTCTGCGGGTCTTGCTGACCAGGGGCAGTTTCAGCACCGGGCGTTCATTTCTCTACAGGCGAAGAGAATGGGAAGCCGGCGGGGAAACCGAGCTTGAGCTCCAGAACCAGGGAGAGGGGATGGGAGACCCCGACAGCAAGCCTGTCCATTCAGTCCAGATCAACCTGGAGCCCCACACGGAAGAATGGTTGCTGACCTCATCTCAGAACATGTCCAAGCCTCCCCTCTCACGTGGGTGCTGCGCAAGCCTTCCAGGTTCGTTTGAAAATCACCTCTCAAGTCTCTGCCCACATCATTTGTGGGGTCTCCACCCCAGACTGGCATAGGAACATGGCTAGGGTGATGTCGCTCCCTCCTGTGTATGCCCCACACCCCTGGCCTGAAGGGCAGGGCACTTCTGAGCTATGTGCCCCAGGACAGGACAGGGACCCGGGGCGGCTGGCCATCGCAGGTACAGCTGACATGCCTGGGCCCCTGGAGCCTTCCTACTGAGCTCACCTTCACCTCCACCCCTCCGCAAGGGCAACTGCCATCCTTTAAAGATGTCTTTAAAGAGGAAGCATATTTGATACCATTAAAATATGTACATAGTATAAAGATTGGTTTTCAAATCTTGTCATTCTGCAGTAGCCTTTTTTTTAATTACTACATTTTTTAGTTTTAAGTTTGTGTTAAAAAAAAAAGCACATAACAGAAAGTTTTCTCTTAGCCTTTTTAAAGTGAACAGTTCAGGGGCACAGAGCACATTCCCACTGCTGGACCACTATCCGGCTCCAGAATGTTCCATCCCCGTGACATCTTGACCCCACCTGCTCCCCCAGCCCCAGCCCCACCATCTACTCTCTGTGTTTGAGTCTGATGATGCTGGGATCTCATATGTGTGGGGTCCCCACGTGTGTCCTGCTTCTGGCTTATGTCACTCAGCCTCATATCCTCAGGGCTCATCTCTGTGGTGGCACATGACAAGATGTCCTTTTTAAAGGATGAATGATGTTCTGTCATATGCTTATATTGCTTATCCATTCATCCATCACCAGACACTATGACACCATTGTGACATTTTACACTACCACCAACAGTGCACAGGGATCGAAATTTCTTCATGTGCCTGCCCGTTTTTCTGATAATGGTCGGTCATCCTAGTGGGCACAAGGTGGTGAGGTCCTTCATTCCCTTCTTTCTTTCCTTCCTTCTTTCCTTCCTTCCTTCCTTCCTTCCTTCCCTTTTTCTTTCTTTTCCATATTTGTGTGATAATCTTTCAACTTCAAGCACAGTCTGTGCTCAGTGCAGAGACCCTAGGATATAGTTATGAACATCAATACTAAATTACTTAGAAGAGCTGATACTGTTGTGGCATCCATCTTCCTGGTTCTAAGAGAACTGGTCTGAAACACTGGTGTGGTGTACTCATTGGGTTTTGAAACAGACATCACTATTGCAGTTCACCATAGCAGACCACACAGCACATTTCCACCAGCATTTCTACACTCAACTGAAACACGATTATGGATGGACGTAAACAAATGTCCACAGCATCAAAGAAAACAGAGCTCCAGTAGAGGCAGAAGTTATGAGCAAACTAGAGATTTCAACAGATTTCAAAAAAGAAAGATGTGTTCAGGATATGTTCATGCAGAAAACAGATGGAGAGACCCCACACAAAATATGCTCCTTTCAAGAAGAGATGCCAGGCTGGGCTGTAAAGCACACTGTCTGGTCCATTGTGAAGAGATGAGAGCACAGCCTGTTTCACATGCTGGTTGAGCCCAAAGAACCACAAAGCTATGGCATAGTTTTTTTTCAGATTTCCTGGATTATCCGTGAATCTGCTGACACTTGTGCCCGGGTCCACACAAGCAAACACCCAGCTGCTCTCTCTCTCTCTCTATATTTTTTTTTAAGATTTATTTATTTATTCACGAGAGACACACACAGAGAGGCAGAGACACAGGCAGAGGGAGAAGCAGGTTCCTGGTAGGGAACCCAATGCGGGACTCGATCCCTGGACTCGGCATCAGGCCCTGAGCCAAAGGCAGATGCTCAACTGCTGAGCTACCCAGGTGTCCCCCAACTAGTCTCTTGACTTGAGGCTTTGTTGCTTTCAGATTCTAAAGACAAACTAATTAGGGGTGTCCAGCTGGTTTCCTTCTCTTGGGACCACATGTGGGACAGCCCTGCTCGGCGGCCAAAAGTGTCCCCTGCCCTGGGATCTATCAGTGAGAACCTCCTAGATGAAGTTAATTCCCCTTTTGTACAGACGAACCTCTTCAGCCTTCACCTTCTGTCCATACTGGCCAAAGATGGGTGTTCAAGATCCTCATCTGTAACGACTTGCTTGGCGCACCCATTATGGTCACAGTTCTGTGGAGCTTTATCAATAAAATTAGACTGTGCAGACAAACTACAGAAAGCTCCGTCCCCCTCCCTCCAGCAGCGAGCCAGGCAGGCGAGAGAGCCCACAGGCATGACTTAATCTGATTTTCTTAGCGTCCTGCTGGCTACCAGAGCTCCCCTCTCTGCATGGCTGCTTCAAATACCAGCTTGAATTCCAAGGCTGAGGTTGGAAGTGAAAGGCGTTTGCAGTTAGTGGTTCGTTAAGAAGCACTTCCAGCCTGCGTGTGCAGAGGGGCCTTCAGGGTGAGGGGTTTCAGCTGCTCTGGGGACCAGGATTCTGCTGTGGGTGCCCACACCTGTTAACTCAAACATTCCTTCTCTCCTTCTCATTCACTCTGAGGTATCGCCCAGACGTGGACACCCCCTCCCTGAGGGACCTGCTCCCAAGGCTGCTTATGTGGCCGGTGCTATGTGTCCCCTCTAAGAGAGGAGGATGGCCGGCTGGAAAAGGCAGAGGACCCCTTCTGAGCCATAGAAGGTGGAGTCCAGGAAAGGAAGGAAAAGAAGGGATAGTGCCCTGGGCTTTCCTGCCTGAAGCAACAGTGGAGGAGGCCAAGTGGGTGGACTGGGCTGTGATGCTGTCCTGGAGGGGAGAGGGTGCCTGGAAGAGAGGCGAGCAGGAGGGGGAGCCGCAGTTCCGATGGACACCTGAGCTTGCTGAGGAGCTGGGGAGAAGACAGGAAGGGCAGACACTACACCTCGCAGCAAACAGGCTGCTCATTGCCCAGGCCTGGAACCTGCTCTTGCCTCCAAAACAGAGAAGGTTCTGGACTCAGTGTGAAGCCCCCCAGAGCTTGGGAGATGGGATCTGCCTCCAAAGGGAAAAATAGCATGTCTCTGGGAGCAGATGCTCCCTGTGAGGCCCCCCGGGTCTGCCCTCTGGCTCCCCACCCTCACCCACTCCCCGGGGCACACAGGTGTGGGGCCTGGCGTCTCCACACTCATGGAGAAGGAGCCTAGCTGGGTCTGGAGTGGAAAATCTACCAGCAGCTCTGTCAGACAGAGACATGTATGCACACACTCGGAGGCGAGCACATACAGACACCGGGCGCACACACACACACACACACACACACGCACATCTGTGCCCACGCCAGACACCCAGGCACACATGCACAGAAACACACAGCTTTCTTCAGCTCCTACCCTGACCTTGTCAATGGAAGGAAACAGAAAAACCACCAAAATCTGGCATCCATGGCATGCAGCTGATTGTGAAAACTGCACACTCCCCCTTCCCTCCCTTCCCCCCCCCCCCCCCCCCCGTCCCTGGAAGAAAGGGCTTCTCGTGTTTATTCTTCAGATTACAGTGTATTGAAATCAACCCAATCCCACTCCGGTTTTGTTTGGGAGAATTTCACATCGCCCAGGGTGTACGTATGGGCTGGGAGCCCTTTGTCCATCTCCAAGGGTGTTTTGGGATCTGATTGCTCTTTTTTTCCTGTGTGGTTTTCCTTCCTGCAAAAACAGAGCAATCACAGGGTGTGGGAAAGGAAGCGGGGTGCTCTCTTCGCAACACACACAGAATCTGCTCCACATGGATCCAGGACTAAAATTCAGGGTGTTCTTAAGAACTTTGCCTAGAAAGTGTCAGTGAATTATTTGGGACCTTGGAGTAAGCACTTCTTAAGTAAGCTCTAAAGAGCTCTACCTATAAAATAAGAGACCAATACTTTTGAACGCATTAAAAACCTGTCAATGAAAATCACCATAAAGAAACTGGGGAAGAAATTAAAGGTGAGATGCTCATACCAGGAGCCTCGGATGTAAAGCCGTGGCTCTGTGCGCATCAGGTCCAGGAGCCACCAGTCACCCCTCTCCGCCTGGGCCTTGGGCAGAAAGAGAGGACATTGCTAAAGCCCTGAGAGACCTTGGGACCCGCCTCCTCGCGGCTCCTCCCCATGTCCTCCACTGCCCTTCCCAGGACCTGATCCAGCTCGAGACTAGCAGGTGGGTGAGTCAGGCTGTGGCTCGAGTTGTGGGTGCCTGTGTTCCATCTACGGGGGCGGGCGGGGGCAGGAGGAAGTGGCTCTGAGTCACAGGTCCTGTGGGGCTCGTTTTCCAGGACACTGACCTCCCTGTGGCCCTGACAGCAGGCCAGACGGAGGAGGACGTGGGCTGTGGCTTCTGACTGTCCCGTGAGCAAGTAGACACACACACAGATGGACACACACGGATACATACACAGAGACACAGACCGACACACAGAGATATAGACAGAGACACATGGATACATACACAGAGATACACAGAGATACAGAGACACGGACGCTTACAGGCAGACACACGCAGAGACACATACATGCCATTCCATCGGACAGAGGCAGCAGCAGTCACTGCTCACTAGTGGCCGACGGCACCGTCCCCTGGGTGGGACCCACCCAGAACGAGGCCAGAGCTTGGCTCTGTAAGCTCAGGGGCAGCAGAAGGGAGTGGTTCTCAGTGCAGCTCCAGAGCTGGTATGCCCGGCTGCCCCCTCACCAGCTCCCACGCAAACTTCTGCTCCCAAAAAGCCAGTCTGGGCTCCTGCTGGACTTGTCAGTGGCCAGTTTCCATCAGCAATGGAAGTGCTAGTCTCCAAGAAGGTGACCTCAGGGGCCTCGGCGCAGTGGACAGGGCCTCTGGGAGGCAGCACGGGCTGCCGTGGGCCTGGCTACAAGGGCCTGGGTCAGAACCCCAAGGGATGTGGGATTCTGCATCAGACACATGTAAAGTTCTCGAGTGGACAGAGGGCTCAGAAGGAGGAAACACCAGTGAGCAGACCCCTGGCCCCTGCCCACTGCTCCCACAGGCTGTTGTGGGGTTGGTGGGGTCTGACCCTGGTCCTGAGAGCCCTCCAGGGTTTAGATCAGCAGAGCCAGAGCTTGGCCACCCTCTGATGAGCCCAACCTGCTCCCCACACCAAAACAGAAGCACCTACTTGGTGGGGGGGACATAAGCTCTGCAGCCCACTCTGTGTGTGGGTAGGTCTCATTCTCTGTATTTGAGGAAAACAAATAATTGGCAGCATTTGCCCCTTTTATCTCCCAAGACATCAAGTGCCAGCCAATCCCCCAAGGCTTTTGTAGGAAGAATCTGATTCCTCGGTCCAGGCTGATGTGGAGAGCCCAGCGGAGCCAGCGGCGCCCAGGGACTGGCCCCTCCTCAGGTCACCTCTCTG